AAAGCTAAAAGGCAGCTGCTAATTTTAGGCATTAGCTGAAGTGCCTAAGACTGGAGTTCAGTGAACACTTGAAGTAGGCAGGGCTATTTATTACAACTCTTGTGCCACTGCTACGTCCTGCAGCTGCATGTTAAACAGGATCAGGCAATACCTTTGTGTTCTGAGCCTGGTCACAAACCATATTCACAGAATTTAGGCCACAGGTTGGCAGATGGGACAAACCTTTTACAGTAGGTGCAGGACAGCTTAACCATCTCTAGGTACACATTTACTTAGCAAACCATCTACCTGCCTTGCAATTTTGACATAAAATGCTGTGGCCTCTTCTTGTGCCAGGATGTCCTGGTGGCATCTGCACTGCCTCAGGTGTGACTGAGGAGTCACTGACCACTTCTGATGAAGAGCAGAAGCCCAGAACTGGTACATGTCTCCTTGGCTTGAAGCAGCTGGAAGGAATATTTTTTGCTGCATGCGATAGCTATGGCTGTATTTCATTATGTGCTGTTAAGCAACGCTCCTTATACATGTATCCCACTAGGTTGCAATTCATATGGGCAGGGAAAGGAAAGTTAGGAAATCTGATTTTAGAACATTTAGTTGCACACACTGTGTAAGTTTTTCACCTTTTTATCCTCATATCTTATATGGTTACCATTATCTTCCAGAGGGATATCCTGCCAGATTCAGAATATAAAGACAATCAAGAGGTGAAGAATCTTCCTTCAAATCAAAGGCTGGTGCTGTATATCCCTAGAATTCTAGCAGAGTTTGATTTCTTAATATAATAACTGTAAATGTGCTCATTGCAGTGTTATCACTGATTTCACAGAATCCTGTATTCGTTAGGGAGACACTGACAGCAGCTTTTCAATTTAAGCATCACACTAGGCTGTTCTATTGAATACTCAGAAATGTTCAGATAAAGGGCCTGGAGTCCTATGCTGCACATTTGCAGAAAAATATATTTAACACAAGAAATCTGAACATACCTGTGTTCACTGCAGATCAAATTTGAAGCATCATCTTAAGCAAGGCACTCAGCATCCCGGATTTTTTCTCTGGAGATCAAAGTCTTTGTGAGCAAAGTTGAAAAAGCAGACAAGCAAGTATCTATCAAGAGCTCTTGAAGCGTGCATATATTTAGGCACATGCACGCGTACAAATACACATATATATGTATGCGCAGCCCATTGAGATTCTCAGTATTAGAGCTCATGATATTCTCAGTTAGATGCTAATAATGTAGGTGCTTTTGAGTACTTAGAGTTCACAATCCATTTTCAATTCAATCTTACCTGCTCTCCATTTCACTTTTAATCATTGTGTTATGTCATTAATTTAAAGGGAAAACATTTTATTTAAAATTTAAATCAACAATGTAAACATGATACATTTTGTAACTTATACTAAAAGAATTAGAGTAAAGAATTAATTGCAAAGTAAATATCTATAGTACACAGTTTATTTTTTCTTTACTGGATATACCATGTAATTATCTGAATACACTACAAAACTTTATGCTCTGGAATTTGGTCTCAAGTAGAAATGCAGGGCTTCACCTTCCAAATCCTTACCACTGAGTGTAATGGAATATTCAAATGTATTGATAAACTGTCAATACCTCTTTTATTTTTTATTTTTTTGGACACTTTTTCTCTGAATGCAGGAAAGAGTTTGTTCTGCATGTTTTTGAAATAGTATTTATACCTTGTCTGGAAGAATATTTCTTAATCCCTTTCAGAAACAAGAACTGCAGCTGTGGTTCTGTTGAGCTAAAGAGAAAAGATGATATTTGGCCAACATGACAGCTAATGAATAGACCTGAGGAAGAAGAGTGGTAGGATTGATATGACATGACGTAGGAAGAAGTGGAAGGCTTGAAGGTGGCATAGTAAAAACTGAAAGGACAAATGTCAGAAAGATGGTAGGTTTTGAGTAGGTATTAAAAATGTGGAGTATAAAGGAAGAGCTGGAACTTTCTCAGAAGCTGTCAGAGGTTGGTGGTTCCAGGGCGTCTGTATTAAGAAAGAGAGAGGTCAAAAAAGGTCATGTTTAAATAGAACCCTAATTTAGGGTCGCGGCTGATACACCTCTTTTTCCTTTTTTTTTTTTTTCTCTCTCTCCCCTCTCATGTTTGAATTGGCCTTAGGGCAAAAGCGTTGAAAAGTATTGTCTGTTTATCTTTCATTTCTTTGTTATCTCATACTAAAGGTTCCAATGTATTCTTACATTTCTTCCCTTTAATGGTGAGTAAATTCAGATGTCATGGACACACTCAAGTGCCTAAGACCTGTATGCTCTCTAGTGTAAGACTCTGGATTGATACTAATTGGAGTGAATAACACTCAGCAGCTTAATATTTTAATATGGTATGAAGTTTGAATTTTAAAAAAAAGAAAAAAACTTGCCTTTTATACTTGTATAATCGTTACAGCTGAACTTCTCAACAGACAGAGCTATAAACGTTTGTTAATAACCTAAGTTTATTGAAGGGATGGGCATATTGCCTATGCCTATTTTAACTGTCCTAGTCCTCTTTCTAATCTAATTAATCAAGATCCTAAGCAAAGACCATCTCTGTTTCCTTCAAAGGAAGAAAATTGATGTAAGATCAGAAATTAACCTTGTTGCTTTCTGACCAAAGAACTGTCAAAGATAAAGGAGAATCCTTAGCTTGGGAGAGAATTCAACTAAGATTTCTAAATGCAAGTCATGTAGTTGGGCTTAGAAGCATCTTACTATATAGGTCAAGGTTTGGTAGGCATTAGATACCATATACCACTTCCCACATTTCTGTTCCTGAATCTCAGCTCTGATCCTTGTCTCCCTCTATGACTTCACAGAATCATATAACATTACTTTAAGGTTTCTCAGTCTGTGTGAGGTATACTTGAGAATATTCAGCTATGTAACTGAAGCCTATGTTGGCATTAATCAGATTAAATAGATAAAACAACAGGAAATCCGAGAGGGGAAAGATACTTCACCCAACAGGTATAAGATAATGTGCTAATGATTTTGAGCGTAGGTAAAGTCTACTTTAACCATCTTGCTATATCCTGTTTTGCTTTATTTATAGATCACTTTAGCAGAATAAATTATGTCACCGTGTCTGATCTTCCATGAAGTCTGCAAATGACCTTCTCTCTTGGAAGTTTCTGTTACATATTCAAAAAAGAGTTTTGTGGGTCATATTGGAACAAAACAGCTTTCATTGATGAAACTGGGACTTGTGAACTCAAACTTTTATGAGGAAAATTTAACAAAGCTCTTCTTGACTAAGCACTAGAACTTTGCTGTTGTGGCCAAGGAGGAGGGAGGATTATGAAGGCAAAATCTTTGAAACTTAGGTAGTTGTTTTTGTGTTTTCTTTCAACTTCCGAGCTTGGTGATGAGTTTTTGAGAGGAAAAGGGAATATATTGTGGGGAGGGTGGTTTGTTTTGATTTGTCGTTTGTTGTTGTTGTTGTTTTTTGTTTTTTTTTTGTCAAAATCAGTTCACTACTACAAGGAAGTGTCTGAATTCCAAAGACAGCATTTTAACAGTGTCTTTTGTCTGCTAAAGAAAAAATACAGTTCAAGTCTTTTGCTTAAACAAAAGACTGGGAAATATATATTAATAGATACTATCTATTCTGAAGAATGGTTTCAATAACTGGAAGGCATTTGGCTTCTGTTATATAGTCAGACCAAAATTATAAAATGGCAGAAGCTGCATAATCAAAATCCCTTAGTTAGTCCTAGTGTGTCGAATGACAGATTGAAAAGCTGGGAGCTGGTCTCTTGGTGAAGACCAAGTTCAGCCCAACAGTGAGGGCAAGCTTCCTTACCAAGAGACACCTTGACCTTCTCCACCCAACCTGTATTTCTGCTTGGGATTGCCCTGGCCCAGGTGCAGGACCTTGCACTTGGCCTTACTGAACCTCATGAGGTTCGCACTGGCCCACCCCTCAAGCCTTCCCAGGTCCCTCTGAATGAAATTTACTTTATCAAAATACTTTTTTCCCCAGTGTTAAAGACTACTAAACTTTAATTTTTTAATGTATTAACTTCACAAACATACTACATTTTCTGAAATAGTTGTAAAATTTTCCGTACAACCCTGTAGGAAGATACTGAAGTATTTTTTTTTCCTTTTTTAACAGTCAGAAAGTGCCCAATTCTAATTTATACTAGATGTTTGTATTAACGATTTACTTATTGAAAAGAAAACAAAAAAAAACTTTGAAAACCATATTTATATTGCTAAAGTTGATAATTAACAGTGATAATAAATTCAGAAACAGTTTGGAAGTACTTGATTTAGTTGAATGCAGCAAAAAGGAGTAGTCTCTACAATGTTTGTTTAGCTTCTTGGATCCATGTGAATGTGTGCAATTTGCAAACATTTTGAATAATATTGACAGTAAGATCAAGAGCCTTCCAAAAAGAACAGGAAATTAAATAATAATAATAATAATAATAAAGCATAATCCTCCTCCTTTTCTTAACTACATGATCCTAGTCAGAGCCATGTGCAAGTGAACAAAGCAGAACAACTAGGTAGCTTAAAGCAGTTGGAAAGAGAGAATTCATATGCAGAGACTGCTATGTAATAAAATGCCAGCTGTAAAGGCAGACCTTTACAGAATACCTGGGAGTGTGCATCTTAGAGAAATTAAATGGAAGGATGAGAGTCACAAAGAATGAAGAGATATCATGCTTTCCATCCTCACCTTAAGGACTGACTCCATTTTTCTATGTTTAATGTTGCAGAGCTTCAAAAGCTTAGTTTGCTTTGCTACATTAACAGTACATCATCTCTGCATTTTACTGTTTTGGGAAGTGCAGAGCATGGCAGTTGGCAACTTCAGAGTGAGTTGTGAGGCGTCCAACTGCTGAGAGCCTCTGGGAGCAGATGTTGAACCACAGGCCCAAACCTGACAATTTTTAAGATTTGGGACTTTTTCATAAAGAAAAGTGCTTATGTTAAGTGCTTATTTTTTCCTTATCTATTCTCAGGGTTGCTCTTGTGGAAAATATTCCTGAAGGGATCAACTATTCAGACAGTGCACCATCTCATTTGTCTCTTTTCCAAGGCTGGATGAATTTGCTAAATATGGCTGAAAAGTCTGTTGACATAGTATCTTCCCAGTGGGACCTCAATCACAGTCATCCATCAGCATGCCAGGTATGTTCTAGACTAACAAAAGGGTGGGACTTTAACAATCTGTTTTTGTTGTTTCACTATTAATTTTTTAGAGCTGCAGCCCTTCCCTGTAGCAGACCTATTTGTTTGGTAGTTTAAAAAAATGAATAAAAAATACTTTCTTATGAGGATTTTCCTGACAATACATTAGTTTTCTGAGAATAGTGGTACACTGGACTAGCAACCATATTCATCACATATTCATATTGCTTCCATCTTAGGAAAGGATGTAATTGTGTAATCTTTAGAAACCTGCAAATTTGCACCTGTATTAACTCATCCATAATCTGGGAATATCCATAAATCCATATGCTTATTTTCTGTTTGATGAAACTGATCAGGTAAAAGATCGATTATGTGGATTAATTCTGCAGCCAAATAGATGAGTAGAACTACACTTAGAACTCATCTGGTACAAAATGTATCACATGATTCTTCATATCTTTTCAAAATGGATCTTGGTAGGGGTTCAGGATTTCTGCAATTATGTGCAATAGGAAAAATTATAAATCATACATAGCAAATGAGACAGTTATTACAATGAGACTATGCCAACAAACACATAATTCTTGATAGCAGTCCTCTTAGAAAGGTGGTAAGGGCAGGTTTCCACTTAATATCACCCTGTCAAACTAAGATATCGAAGAACCGAGAGGCTGAGAGTATCTCTGTCAACCAAAAGGATTCTTTGTTGAAAAACAAACAAACAAACAAACAAACAAACAAACAAAAACACTCAGTTGATGTGGAATTGGGTTAAAATGACAGCAGGGTAACTGTAAGGAATCTACAATACTATACTATGTCACAAACTTTTCACTTTCCTCTCTAGTCCTGTTGATGTGCAGTAAAAATGCCTTTTGCTAGCTGATGAAAATGACTGGTATTCTGAGCAACCAAAGATAGTATTTCAAATAGTCTGTGTTTTCAAATTGTGAACTAGATGCTACTTCTTTTTAGAGAGACTATAGCCTAGTTAAGGGCATACATTCACTTGTCTTCAGAATAAAACTACTGCATGTCCGTTCAAATGAGTGAAAACTTGAGGTGAGCAGTCAAATGGAAAATGTAGCCCAAACCCTTCCTTTTACAAATATTGGAATATAGTTAGTGAATAAATTAAGTGAGTATCAAAATATTGAGATTTTTTACAATGTAATTATGCAGCTAAGCTTTATTTAAATTTATTGCCTAAGAAATTTCAAACTCATGTACTGTCATTCAAGCAGATGAATTCAAAGACGTAGTGCTTTAGATGTTTTCAGGATGTGCATGAATTGGTATGTGCATGAATCTTTTAAAAAATTTTTGTCTGAAAATATTCAACATGTCATTTGCTTCAAAACCAGCAGAGCCTAACAAATCCCAAACAGAGAGTAAAAATAGCAAACTGGAAATTGGGATTTCAGCAGTTAAGCATCAAATCCATTCACTGTTCCACATTTTCATGCAAAGTAAAAACTATAAGATATTGCCGAATGTCAGAGCAGGGAAAGGAAGAAGATACATGTAAGTGGATTTGCTCCTTCATCCCCAAATACATTGTTAAAGTCATAAAAAATGAGACATTTTTTATAATATTCTATTTTAGTTATCTATTTGGAATACATAGGTCTTACAAAAGCAAGTAATTACTTCTGTTTAAAAAGTGATTAATATTCCAGTCATTTCCTCATTTGTACAGCAGTGTGGGCTGAACAGCTGATAGATCTTTCTGTCAAGCTTGTCTATTCATCCTAAAACTCTGTGCTGTTATTGACCAGTCTAATTGCTAAAAAAATTGATAAAGAAGCAGACTTTCTTAGCAAATCACTGCCCTGGAAAAGGTATATCAATGTGTGAAAGAGGGAAGAAAATCTGTATTGTTGCATATGCTTTCTCCCCTAATAAAATGAAAGATAAATTTGAGAGGATTTTCAGTTATCTGGTGATTTTCAGAAGTATAAGTCAAATATCCTTGAGTCTTTACAAATTTGAGTTCAGGAGTAATTTGCCCTCACATACGAGAACTGTTACGTGGAGAGAGATGCAAAACTTCTAGCTTCTGAGGTGCTTAGTGAGTAAGTTCTAGTTGTTCCCTGGATGATGCTTGTTTTATCAGAGACTAAGGACATAACCATTTTTCATATGGACCCACATCTTGCTGTATAACTAACAATTTTCATTTTGTGAATATTACAACATATTATAAAGCAAGTTTCTTTGTGAGAGCACTTGAACAGATGTGGATTTTTAGAGAAGAGATGAGTAGGCTAAATTGCCTTTTCTCAATTTATTACAGGGCTTAGCTATGTTCTCTACATGTGTGTTTGTGTATTTATATACACACATGAATCTGTGTATGTATGTATACATATGTACATCCAATATACATACTGAAGAAAAATACAGCAGGAAGTTTCTGCATTTTTGTATACAGACAAGAATGCATATATATATATGCACATCCAATATATATATGGATGATAGATAAACATATATGCTTATGTGTATATAAAATTGCAGAATTTTGTGCCTTTTTTCTTCAGTTTTGTTAGTGGTTATGTTACCTTGTGTCCTTACCAGTTGCCTCACCATGTTCTGTGGTTCTAAATCTGAAGAAACAGTTACTGCTGACTGAGCTGTCCAGGTTGCAGCTGCTGTGCTCATGCATCTGAGTTTATAAGCCTTACTGAATTGGAGTCTTCAAATGCAAATACATGATGCTACAATGTTTTGTGTGCTTCCACAGCTTAGCAGGTCAAGTAAACAAATGTTTGGCAAAATAATGAGTAAGTTTCCATACCTGCTTTTCTCATTCAGAGGAAAAACGTGTTTTGGCATCTTTGTGTTCTCATCTGTGCATTTTCAAGATAGCAGGGTAGTTACACAGAAGGCTTTGAGATTTTTGGAGAATGCAAACATGTGAATCCTCCTGTGGCAGTCTGATGTTCAGAGATATCAGAGGACAGTGGAAACAATTTTGAAAGATAGCTTATAGTTCAGTTGCGATGAAGGGAGAGGTGAACATAAAATCATTCCAATTTCATGATTTTCACAATACATTTCCTCTGAGTCATCTCATGTTTAGAAACATTAATTCAGAGTGACCTTATATATAGTTTCAGCAAGTCTTCCCTTTCAAATTTCATTTTAAGTTTAGCAAGTAAGAATTGATGCTATCATGGCTTATTGGTATTGCCGTGAGTAGCCAGTTCTCCCTGGATGGATATTTGCAGAACCATAAGATGATCAGAGGATAGACCTGTGCCTGACTTTTACACTCATCACACAAAAACAGGTGGTTCTGACTTATGTCTAGTTACCTACCTACTTATTGTGCACTCCCAAACGGCTTGATGGGAGAAGTCTCCTGCTCCACCTAAAAGTGTCAGGTAAGCCAGCAGTCCAGCTTTGCAGTGAATCTCTGAGAGTGAGCTGTGTGTCACTTGCAGACAGCCATCACCCAAGGGTCTTACGTGATTTGTTTGGTAGGACAAATGCTAGTGCCAAAGCATAAGTATCTGTCCTTGACAACTAATAAAAAATGCAAATAAGTACAAAGAAGACAAGAACGCCTCTAAATCTATTGGATACCAGCACAAATTGGCTACAGCCAGCTACAGAGATTGCAGTGTATTTTATTTTTCTGTAAACTCATCTTTACAAAACCATCTCTCCCCTTCAGGTATTTCCCTGATTCAGCTGCTACAGAATGAGACACAGAAAAGAAATTTTAAAAAGTGAGAGTTTTTATAGTGAAAGCATTTTTTTTTTACTCTGAAATTCCAATAATTGACATTTCCTCCCTTTTCCTTACCTGTTTTGCTAGAAGAATGTGAGGAGAACATTTGAGTTTCTCTCTTCAGCATTAAATAGCAGAAGTTGAATTTAGGATTTCTTCGTTTATTTCTTCTGTTGGTTTCTGCTGGTAAACTGTGATTGTTAGTGATGTTTTTTAGATATACCCAAAGGGTTGATCATAGGATAACATTTTAAAATATTAGTAGAACCATATAGAATAAATTCAGAAGAAAATTCTGGAAGTGACCAGTTTTATTCTGTCACAATAAAAAGCTAAACATTGTCTTAATTGTAGGAATCTAAGTTAACAAAGAGCACAATAATTCAATTTTAGAAAACTTAATAAACAGCATTTTCATGTTTGTATATCCCCTCTTTTATTTTGAATGAGGAACGCATGCTAATAAAGACAACAGCATGCAAGGGAAATCAGCCAGCATAGAATCAGTCTGCCTAGTAAGGGTTAAAAAGTTCTTTTGGGGGGAATTTCAGAGCTTTTCGGTAGTAGTAACTTTTTTTGTCTGTTTTAAATTCACCAGCTTACTCTGCTGTACAGTTGGGACTGATGTTTCAGATGGATAGTAGTTTAAAGCTGCCATGAGAGTGTCTGTCTGTTCATTTGATGTATACATTTTACAGCCTATTTTGTCGTTTTCAGTAAGTTTGCTAACACAGCACTGTGGAAAGTGTAAGAGAATATTTCATCAGGATAGGCATTTTTCCTAATGGTATAGTCTGCTAAAATGCAAATAGGGTATAAAGTAGCATGCTGCATTTTCATAGCACTTGGCTTGTTACTACTTCTCATCCCTCACAAGCTAACTCCATAGAAATGATTCTGATCGCTGTCACGTAGTCGCACAGCAGCCTGGTATTGTCTCACAAAGGAAATGTGGTCTGAATGACAGCATGAGGGTTTATATTCAACAGAAGCATTTCAAATGTGCTGACAGTAGTGACAAAACTCTTCAGACCTTCTGTCCTGTCTTTTTCCCTTTTCATAGAACAAAATGGTAAAACTGCAAGTAAACATGTCAGAAAGTGTAGAAACTGAGTTTCAAATTAATATTAATGGGAAAAGAAGGCCAGGTACTTCAACAATGAAAAAAAGAATCTCTAGTATCCTACTTTACTGTAGTACATGCAGATTTTTTAAGACAAGTGTATTTGTCATAGTTGTACAGAGTGCCTAGACTAAGCCGTGGTGAGAGTTTCGATCCCTGCTGAGGGATGATGCAGTGAGAGGAGACAGCAGGAATTATTTCCAGTTCTGACACTGGGTGGTGGGGTGCTGTTTTTTGTGTTCCAGTATAAACATACGCATTTCTGGTGAGTGTGCTCCTAGTTTTAATCAGCCACAGTTTACGATTCTGTAATCATCACAAGAGATGCTTTAAATGTTTCTATCAATGTGAGGTTTCACCATTTATGAACATAGTTTGATGAAAAAGAACATGGTAAATGTATAGCTTGTAATGTTTTGTAATGGAAAAGAGATGTATTTTCAGAGAAGATGCTTTGATTGGAATGCAGGGCTGCACTCCAAGTGATCTGCTCACCCAGAAGATGGCCCATTGAAACGTCAGACTGGTCTGTAAGAGACAGACAGCTAGATGGTCTATCCAGGGTGCTGTGTTGGTCACATCAGCACATACTAAGATTGGGTAAAACGGGCCAAGGCATTGGCTAGAAACTGAGCAGAAACCAGTGTAGTCATTGTGAGTCCCAGATTTGACTTCAGTGCCATTCTGCAGCAATTGCAGGAAAGGCCCTCTAAGGGGACCAGGGGACCCAGTGCACTTCTGTCCCCCAGGGTCACAGTGGTGCTGAACTCTGTTGTTGGCTGCTAAGTTCCTGCAAGCCATGGGATGCACAGGGAGCTGTGCTGTAGGTTTGAGCCGGCAAGCAGGCATACGTAACAGAAGTAAAACATAAACAGTAGTTCTGTGTTTCCGTTACAGCCTCTGGCTGCTCTATAATATTGAGAAACCTAGTTCTTAGGAGGCTGGGTATTCTTATTTTGCTGCATATACTCAAATATTGGGAAGTGAATCTTAGGCAGTATGTCTGTACTGTAGACAGATGAAGAGCTGGTTTCTGTGACTGCTGAAATCCCAGCAAGGTTCCAAGTGTCAATCTGCAGGTAATTACAGGGCAAAGGATGGCTTTCCCCTCACTGCTGCTTCTGGTTGTGATGTGGGAGGAGGGTTTTCTGTCTGAAGTTTTGTTAGTACACACTACATCAGATTGCTTCATCCCAAACTGCTTTTGCATTGACTGTGGTTGTTGAACAGAAAGATCCTTCTAAGATTTTAAGAGTAATGTTTTGTATGGAGAATTCTCTAACATGGTCTTGTGGAAAGCTTCCACCTATTTGAAAGCTGATATGTTTTTTTTTTTTTTTTTTTTTTTTTTTTTTTTTTGTTTTGTTTTGTTTTTGTTTTTGTTTTATTTTTCTTTATCTTGACATACAAGATTTTTCCTTGCGACCAGCACAACACTGAATCTATGTGAGCTATATACCTAGGGCAGACACTTTGTCTGCTGATTAAACCCAAAGATTTTTTGTACAATACTGCTAATTGTAAGTGGTGCCTGCTGTAGTAAGCTCGAACAGCAGCAAGGAAGCAGGCTCTCTGTGGCTGTAGTAACCATGGCACAATATCCAATAGTACATTGGATATTTTATTCTTTTATTCTGCACATCATGTAGCTAGATGCTTCTAACCAAGCATTTTCCTTTAGCTTAAGATATGAATCTAAAAAGTAAACATTTACTATGCAAAGGTCTACTTTTTATTTGCTTCTTGGACGTGGAAAAATGTGACTTGATTGAAAATTTTATTTCTCATATGAAACAATTACCTTGATTTCTGTTTTAACGTGTATACAGTTCAGTATGATATTCCTTTTTTTTTTGTTTTGTTAGAAATAAGGCTCACATAATAAAGTTAAAGCATTGTAAAAAGGAGAAGTGTATGAAATACATTTACATTATTGTTCTCCTTCCTGGTATAGCTCATCTGAAAACAAACATGACTACAAGAAAATGTTTTGTACTATGGTTAGAATCACTTACAAAAAAAATTACTCTTTACAGAAATATGTGTAATCTGTAAATCTTTTCCTTGCAATTTTTATCCTAGTTTAACAGAATTTAATTATTTATAAGAAAGCTAATGTAAAAATACATTTATGCAGAACTGGACACCTCATTCTGTGTGTCACCTGTCATTGATAGTATTGCACAGTCTGGGAAAAGGAAGAAGCAAGTTTGTCCTTCAGAATAGTAATTTTCTAACCTTTAGGTTAGATTTAACCATATTTTGGAACATATTTACTCAGCTGTTATACACATTTACAATTTTTGTTTTAATGTGCCTCTTTTTTACTATTATTTATTTATTATTTTTGATATGCTACTTAAACAATTCTATCTTAAAATTTCTGCTTTCCTTTACTATTTTTCCTAGGGTCAGCGTCTTTTTGAAAAATTGCTTGAACTGGCATCCCGAAATATTGAGATAAAACTAGTGAGTGATATCCTGCCTGTGGAATCAAAAGTATTAAATGACTTGAAAACAAAGGGTAAGACCAGGGTCTTTATGTTGTTATGCTATTGACTGCTACATAATGTTTCTTTTGCTTTAAATGAAGGCTTGAACGACATACATAAAATGCAAACTGTTGCTGAGCAGTGTTGTCCAATAATCCTATACCTCTCTTTGGTGCATTGTTATCAAAAATCAGAAGCTTCTACAACTATTATTGTAGTTGAAGTAGAGGCTTGCACTTTGCAAGTGGTTAAAAATGTGGTGCGGTGCTTAGATAGATGGTTAAAGCCATTATATCCATATTAATAGTAGGCAATGTAACTTGAGATGTTGCTGTTACATCCTGTGGGACAAGATAGTTTCCTCTTTTAAGCAACAGCAAAATAATTTAGTAAACCAACATTTCTATGCTACTGATGATTCTGAAGCACTGGAAAATACTAGTCAGCTTTAGCTGACTGACACATGTTTCTGTGCTAAAGGTATTTCTCAGGTGTCTGCTTTCTTAATGATTGTTTGGAAGTTCAAAATCCCTAACCAAAGAGGGATTACATGCTGACGCTACATGACTAAACTTGTTATATGTAACAATGTGTGGAAAAACAGCAAAGAGAATTTTTTAAATGATAAAAGAAATTACAATACCTAAAGGGTTTTAACAATCTCACACATGTTTCTTCTGAGTGGTAATACATTAATTAATTTATATAATCTGATATAAAAAATAATCTGATTTTTAAGGGTAGGATACATCTTTAAATGGCAACAAGAACCTATATATTTTGACAATAATCATTTTTGACAGAGATTTATCTAATATATGGAATTCTAAAAAACAAATTAATCTAAGCAGTTGCTACTTTTACCAGCACCCTAACATAATGTGCTTGTGTGGTGAAGAACAAACAACACTCTTTTCCAACAAAAGTTAATTTTGATTTAACTTCTTTGTAATCTCCTGACCAAGAAAGTAAAAGAAAATTGCTAGAGGAAGTCCTGATTCCTTAGAGATCACCTTTTAATCAAGACTGACATGTTATTTCAATGTAATATCTGTGGAGACATATCACTTCATGACACTGCCTATTCCAGGACTTTGATTATTTCTATTACATGACCAAAAGTGATACTGATCCTTTGATAACTAGTGAGTATACATCAGCTTTGACAGACATCTATGAAGTAAGGAATTAAGTTTTCCTGATGTGTTGAAAATGAAATATATGTTTTAATAGCAACACCAGTGAAACTGTCTTTGAAAAAGTGGTTTCATTTCCCTGTGGCTCTAGCGTCCCCAGTTTCCCTCAGTCAGACACAGTTAGAGGTAGAACCTGTAAATTTATATTGATATACTGGGCAATAGATATACCATTTATTTAGAATACCAAGTATCAGAAGCTGTCCTGTTTAAAAAACAAAACAAAACAAAAAAACTAAAATTATTTTAATCAGGGAAGGGAACTGTGTTTGTCATTAGCACTTCTGTCAGTTTGTGGGAGATAATCAATCCTGTGAGCTTTTTGAACAAGTAAATAAAACATAAGCTTATACTATTTTATTACCTTCGGTTTCCCTTATGTCTTGCTCAGATCCCTGAGACAGCAAATTTTAGAGTATTCAAATGAAGGGATCAATATATTTGAGTGCTCTTCGCTACAAAGAATCAGAGTCACTTTCATGTAGTAATTCTTGTGAGTTTTGCTGCCATCCTCTTTGATTGTTGTAATTATAGGCCAACTGTTGGCCTTTTCCAAAGATAAATACTGGAACTTCCTGCTTTTCTCACTATAAATGTTTTTTTTTTCATTTCATATTTCAGTTTATGTCAACAAATTCAGATATTTCTGTTAGAATGTCCTGATTATGATGTAGTGATTGCCAGCTCTTGCGTTTATTTTTTTTTCCTTATTTTTATTCCCAGGAAAACTGGTTAAATTTTTATTCAGTTCTGCATTCCTGAACAGAGAGAACTTAGTTTTAACATGCCACTTTCAATTAGAATATCATATGTAATTGTCTTAATTTTAGGTTGAAATGAGCAGACCTTGTATGAACAGATGATACATGGTTCGTCTCACATGGTGTGTCCTGCTTGTGTCAAGTAGAAATTCACTGGTATGCTAGCTATGCAACTCCAATTTCCAGTGGTTCAATAATAAGAATAACACAGTGGGTGGAAAATATATCTGCATTAGCTTTTTTCACATTTGCTGGAGAAACAAGGACTGTTACCTGCTACTGTCATCTTAGCTGATGGCAAACATGTCATTACATTCTACTATGCTATGCTGGAGGATTCATCCACTAAAATTATTAATCTCTCTTCTTGTGAGGATCTGGCCAGCTGCATCCTTAGAAATTAGTCAGAATTGATTCCTGAAAGGGAACTGTGACTCATCTTTTGGACATGTATATTCATGAAGATAAATATTTTTCCCCCTGCAACTGGTCAGATTTATCTTAGAAAGTATGTTATGCACCTTTTTAACTAATTATTTTCTACTGTGGGAAAGAAAACAGTAAAGACATCAATAGCTCTGCCAAATTTTGAAGCTTCTCAAGATGGAGAGCCAGAATACATCTGGCTGAATTAGACCCAAAGTCCCTCTCCTGGCATGTCTGGACTGGACAGAGGAGGGTCCAAGCCCAACTCCATGGTTCACCAGCTAACAGATCAAGCTGGTGGAGAGAAAGCACATACATAGCTCGTTGGGCTCTGGGAGTTTCACATATTCATGAGCCTGTCTTCCCCTTGCTAGGTAAGCACAGGCTATCCTCGTCCTTCTAAAGCAGGTTGCATGCAATAGTCAGAACACGTAACAGCTCTGCTGCACCTCACCATGGATACTGAGACTACACCTGCCAGCCAGATTATTCTGTCAGGTATTTCAGTTTTCTAGGCAGCCATGAGTGGAGTCCCCGTGGCTCTTCTCCCAATTTCTGATCTGCAGAAAGCACCTTTGGTAGAATTTCCCAACCCAAGACCGCATCCTAGTCCTCTTCGCTCATCCCTCCTGTCCCGCAGTCCCCCCTGCTGGCTAACAGGTGAAAGTTGAACTCCGACTTCAGATTCGAACTGATGGGGTAAGATAAAGCACATTTTACATGGACAGGATAGCAAAACTGACCTGTTATAGAGTGAAATAAAGCGAGTAATTTACAGAGTGATGAGCGATGTCAGTACAGAAATCCTGCAGGTTTTTTCACTACCTTTGAGCCTTTCTTTGTCACGTCTTTACTCTCCTGACTCGCTTGAGCTAGCTGTAAAGCTGGATAGTTTAGTGACAGAAGCAGTCTAGCAGCATCAGAATGAAACAGATTGATTTACTGTGCCCACACACCTAGAGCTGTGGTGATAGGGAACCTCTGGGTGCTGGGATAATGTACTTTTGCTAATAATTGTTGCAGTGTGGGAGTGTTATTTAGTAGCAAAAATAAGCATTTGGAAATGAGGAAATACTAGCCCCCAGAACATATATTTATGATAGACTTTAATTACATTATCTAGTGCTATCTTTTACATGGAATACCTAACTGGTGCTTGCTATAATCTTACTACATTAGTTAATCAGACGGCTTTTCCATTGTATTGAATGAGAATACATCAAACATTTAATGCCTAAGGGAGATGATGCTCATTCAGGGGATATTATTTCTGTTAGTAATGGGTAGAATCTTTTTTTATCTTCGTATTTAATGCATGTCTCCAGGCTTTCTTTATTGCACATCTGCCAGATCCTGCACTGAATATAGAATGATTTATTTCCTCATAGGCTTTTCCATGGTGCTGCTCGCTGTGGTATCTGAGTGCTCTGCAAATACAGTATTAATGAATTTCTTTTTACATCACTGTTAGGAGAGGTTGCTTGATGCTGTCTCTCAGGGACAACTAGCAATTATTAATTCCAGAATAGGCACCAGAAGTCACATTTGAGCTTTTTTTTTTTTTTTTTATAGTTGTAATTAAAAAAAAAAAAAAGTGTAAACTGAAACAAATGACCACATGTGTGTTCTCCCAGCTAATATTTTCAAAATTATTACTAAACAGGCTATAAACTATGATGCTGTTTTTACAGTACCTTTAATAATATGCAGTCCTGGGATGAAGTCTTGATTCTCTTTAGTTAATGTTAAAGCAACATTTCACTTTTCACCTGTGTATACAAATAGTATGTATATATCTGTATGACTGTCTTGTGAAAGGTAGGTCTGCTTGTATGTAAAATGTGGCTCACTGTGGAAACAAACACGTTCTTCTTTATCCTTCATGTGCTGTGACAGTAGCTTATTAATGCTTGTTTTCAAGGTTATTGTTTTAGCCTTTTCTCAGCTGTGGTTCAGTGTACTAGATTGAAACATTTCTTGTAACCCTCCCACTCCTTGCACATAATTATGTACCACTCTTTGTTCCTCAGTAACATTTGAATGGTATTGTCTCCAATTAGCAGGTTGTTGTATCATTTCTTACGTGTACAGAATCCAAATCCCTTGCTAATTACAATATTATTTTAGCTGGCAATGTTAATGCTTTTTAAGACATGCCAATGGATTTCCTTCCTTCAATTTGTATTGCTTCATTCCTTTTCTTTTTGCTTTTTTTTTTTTTTTTTTTTTCCTTTTTATGAGTCATTTCTCAAATATTTGCAAGGAATTTGTTTTGTTTTGTGAATACTGGTTGCAACAGATATGGAGAGAGGAGTCTGTCCATATCACAAATGTAATTAAAAAATCAGCTAATTTAGCTTGCAGCTATTAAATGTTACTGATGAAACTGAAGAATAATATGAAGTCTCTGTGCTAACGCAGGCTCTAATCATTAGATCATATGTACAGCTCTGAGTCACTGAGCAGTTTGTGCACATTTGCCCAGGATTATTCTCTCTCCTAACCAGATGCAACCAAATTAGAAAAACAGAAAAGTTATATTATTGTGGGGAGACAAAGAAATCAGTAGAAAGTGGAGCTCTGTAAGCTTTTTGAGCTTTTATTTGTGCACTTTTACATTGCAAACACTAACTTATACCATTCTGTGAC